ATTATTAAAAATCGAATACCAAAATTAGGAAAATTAAGAACCATATTTTTATAAAACTAAAACAAACAAGTCTCGTGTTTCTTCTATAACATTCTCTCCCATGAAAAAATAACAAATTTTTTAAAAATTTAAATTCTCCAACAGCGTAATCACTAGCTCTAGCAGCCTTTTTTTAATTTTAAAAAAATTTAATGTATTTAAAAAATTAAAATATTTTACTTATTATCCTTCAATACCTAAAATTCCTACACCTATATGTGCCGCATTAATCATATTAACGTCATTAGCCCCGTCCCCAATAGCCAAAGTAGATATTTTAGGATTATTATCCCTAACTAAAGTAACTATTTATTATTTTTATTTAGGGCTAACACGACAACATAGTACAGAAGAACAATAATTTGTAATTTTTAATATTAAATCTTTATTTTCACCTTTTGTTGAATAAATTAATGCATCTCCTGTAATAATAAATGAATTATTAAGTAATATTATACCATTTTTATCTCTATTATAACTTATTTAATTATAAATATCCTGAAGACGTTAATATACTTCAATGTAAATAGAATTTTCGTCTAATTTTTAATCGAAATCTCCTGATAATTTAACAATATATTAATTCATATTTTTTGACAAGAGTTTACACGATAATCCTATGTTTATTGCTGTTTCAACTTTATCACCTGTTAAAACCCATATCTATAAATAAATAAAAAAATAAATGAAATAAAAATATTAATATAAATATTAATATAAATATAAATATAAATATAAATATAAATATAACTATAAATATAAATATATATACTCCATAAAATATTAAAAATTATAATATTTAAAATTAAAACTTTAATTTTATATATTTTAATGTATATTTTTATAGATATAGTTATTTAATAATTTTTATTTTATAATTTTTACTTTTATTCCAGCTTTTTTTAAATCATTTATAGTTTCTTCTACTTTATCTTGCATCTTATCTTCTATAGCTGTAGCGCCAACTAAAATTAAATTATTTTCTATAAGTTCTTATACCTCATACATTTTTATTCTCTATTTATTAATGTTGTACATGCTTCATGATATTTTTCAGACCAAACTTTATATTCGTTTTTCTGATATTTCTCTTTCGCATAAAAGTAGAGTCCTTAGGCCTATGTTACCATAATTTTCAAGTATTTTTTTCTGTTTCTTAAACGTGCTAGCTATTTTTTTTGTCTATTAATTTAAATAAAGTAGAATCTGCACCTTTACAATATAAATATATTTTATTTGTTTCTTTATTTCTTAAAACTACTGATTAACGCTTTCTAATGGAATCAAATTCAAATAAATGTAATAAATTTATTTTTTTATGTTCTTCTTTAAAAGAATATAATATATCATGATCTTCATCTAATCCAATAAATTATACACCGCAAAATTTTGAGAAATTTACTAAAGCTAATTCATCTGAAGAAGAAGCCTAAATAATTATATTATATATATATATAAATGTATAAATAAATATATATAAATGTAAATATATATATATATATATATTATTAATATATATTTAAATATATATATAATATATATTTTAATATATATATTTTTCTATATATTTTTTTTTTAAATTTTAATATATACATTATAAATTATTTATTATTCTTCATTTTCTGTTGTTATTTCACTTATTATTGTATGTGTAAATGCTAATATTTCTAATGCTTTTCTATTTTTTTTTTTATTAATATAATAAATGTATTAAACTTTATGCTTTTATATTAAGGATTATTTTAATCATTAAATGCATCTATAAAATTTTAATCTCGGAAATCTACATTTGTTACTTTAGGATATTATGATATATCTATAATATAATTTGGATCTCCTAATTTTGTTTCGCCTTTTTAATTTAAAATAATATATACATTTTCTTAAATAAAAATACCATAAGAAATTCCATTAATACATATTTTTTTAAAAACCATAATATTTTATGTTAAAGTTCCTGTTTTATCTGTAAATATATATTCTATTTACCCTAACTCTTCCATTAAATTTGAGCTTTATACATTTGTTGGTTTAATTAGGTTTTCTCCTTTTTCATCTGTTAATTATTAAATCATTTATTCATCCTTAATAACTATTTTTGCTTGCATAAATTTAACCATATCTATAGTTACTGCTAATGCTGTATTTATATAAATATACATTTATTTATTTTTTATATAAAATAATATAAATATATATTTTTACATATTGGTACAAAAT